TAAATATCCCGTGCTTCATTAGCATTTTCCCAGCCGGTCGCCATTTTAGAAATTGACTAGCCTGAAGTAACTGCCTGCGTCTACACGCATCAGTGAAACAGAATTCTGAATTAAAGCCATAAATCGAACTAGCTGGTAAACCTCATTGCAGGAGGAACACCAGCTAATTCGATTTAGGGCTTTTATTCGGAATCCTGTTTCACTGCCGTGTGTAGATGTGGGCAGTTACTTCGGGCTAGTCAATTTCTAAAATGGCGACCGGCCGGGAACATGCTAATGAAGTGCAGGATATTTAAATCCCGGGCTTCATTTGCAATTTCAGTTGGCCACATTAGCCTCCCTAGATTGAACTAGGGGGCTAGTGTAGACAGACCCTTACTTCTCATGAAATGAAGGTTACCATGAGTTGGAGTAAGAAGTCCTCCCGCTCGACATAATTTTGAAGTAACAGCTTGTAGCTATTCCGAAATAATGCTGCTGTGTAGTTGTACCCTGACTATTGGGTTGTAAAGCCCAACAGAGAAATGAAAGGTTTGCAGCAGAGAACCCCATTAGCACAGATTTGCTCCAAATTTAATTGACTCCATTTATCCAAGACTAAGGATGCTGGTCCCCTTTTTAGATTGTAGAATGGTAAAAGTATAACTTGGATGAACAGAAAATAACTAAAAAATCTGAAAAAAAAGTTAATGGTAGTTTAGCAAAGAGGCAAATGTTCTGATTTACAATCTATCCTGTAACTGTATGGAAGGCAAACAACTTTGTTTCTTCACATCAAATTTTATTATAATGAGAATTCCCTACTCGGACTATGTTTTACAGAATGTCAAAAATTTTGAAATCCTTTTAGCTGTGTAAAATTGGGACATTTTACAAATTGGTCTTGACTTTTATGAAACAAAATAATTGTGCATGTGGAGAGTGCTGTTTTTCCCCACTGACTCCTCCTGGACACTCTGGGAATTAGCTCTCAAGGTGGAGACCCCCACTTGCAGTTTCCAAACTATCATTCTGACTCTGTTCTGCATTTCTTCTTTCTTCAGGACCTGCAACATCTTCCTCATGACTTGCCCCTCTGTCTAGATTACTCAGTGTTTCTCAGCAGTAATAGGCAGGTTTTCCATTCACTGTTGTGGTGCTACTCCCTCAGGGTTTGCTAAGGGAAACAGGCCTCCCCCTGTTCCAGGTTCCAGTCCAAACACCCACAACTCAGCGGTTCGGGACTTTCTTCTCACTGCTCCTTCCCTGGACTGCTATCTACTCCTCTGGTTTCCCTTTTCTATCTGTATGTATTAACTTCAAGAAACTACTTCCCAGGAAGTGACTATTGTCTGTCATGCTGCAGCTTTGCTCCACAATCCATCTGTAGCCCTCTACCTGACTTTATTGTTCCCATCTTTTCCTTCAAAAGCTTACCTAGTTGCAATCACTTACTTCTCTGCTTCCTGGATCCTCCTCCAGGTGCAACCTGGTCATTTTATTGGCTTCCCTGGTCATTTTAACCATGGTGAGTCCTGTCCTTTTGAGTCCTTGGGCCTTTCCACAAGTAAAAGCCCCTACCCCAGCCTCAGGAAGAGTCCTGTGTGAGGCAGACAACCCATCACATCTACTTTTAACTAAAATGTTTTATTTTTGTATTAACAGCCACTCTCCAGAACTTCAAATTCCATTTGATCAGATTCCTACCTGGTGTAAATGGACTTCCATTTGAAGTAAGTGGAGCTATGCTGATTTTCACCACCCAGGATATGGCTTATACTTTCTTTAGGTAGAAAAGAATAAATTTACATATATCAACTAGAGCATGATAATAAGTTTACTGTGAATTTTTCATTGCAAGGGGTAGATAAGTTGACTTATCAGTTCTGAAGATGAGTATCTTCCATTATAATAACAACATTGTGGAATTGCGGTGAAATTAAAGTTTTAATTATACTCTGTCAAGTAAATTTTTTAAACAATTTTTTCTGGAGTGATTTTATACTGAATCTAATTATTACATTTTATTTCTTATTATTACATGCTGTTTCAGACTCCCAGTTATGAGTCACTTTTCATAAACCAAAGGCCATATTCAGTGTGTACCGATTCAGTGTCCCATACTCCCATCTACTTGTAACGTAATAACTGAAAAGAGTAATGACTGTTCTTAGTGTAATATCACCAGCCACCCATGGGAAAATATAGATTGCAATGGTATTATACCTAAACAGATACACAATGAAGGCTGAGTTAGGTAATCTAAATATCCTGGGCACCTGAACATTCTGTAGCCTCTCATGTTCTGCTGTCACTGGGGCTATGTCTAGGCTTGCTTTCACTTTTGAAAGGAGATATGCAAATTTGATGCTAATTTGCATATCTTCTTCCGATTGCTTTTTCAAAAGCGTTTTTTTTTCTAAAGTGAAAGCAGTTTAAACACGGTTCTTTCGGGAAAAAAACCCTTTTTTCAACCTCAATTTTTGAGGAAGAAGGTTCTTTCCAAAAAAGGATTGTTGTTTTTAAAGAACTGCGTTTAAACTGCTTTCACTTTAGAAAAAAAAACGCTTTTGAAAAAGCAATCGGAAGAAGATATGCAAATTAGCATCAAATTTGCATATCTCCTTTCAAAAGTGAAAGCAAGTCTAGACATATAATTGAAGAATTAGAATTTCATTGGTGATAGAAAAAATGTTTCACTGGGCATTCTGCATAGCTAATTCTGCAGCGTGACATAATCTGGTCCCATTGCAATATATAGTAATTAGCCTTTCTCAAAAGCCCATCAGCTACTTTACTGATCATATTAAAGGTGATCCTGCATCATGTTTGAGCATAAGACCATTGGATTGATGTCTTCACTGAGAGAATGAATAGTAGCCGGAAGAAGGTTTCTAAAGAATCCATGGCCCAGAATTGTTCTTTTTTTCTTGGCTGATTAGTTCATTCCTGAGGGCAGTCTGATCCATGGGGGGCTGGCCCAATGCAAGGTGGGGAAAATACTGGGTGAAAGTCTGTGTGTGTGTGTGTGGGGGGGGGTATTTTTAAGATTTTTGAAGTTTTATTTGTTTTGATGCTGTTCTGACAAAATAAAAGAAGAAAGCAATCATTGCTCAAGAATCAAAGATAAGCTGCAACCTTTTAGGAGAGTCACTCCACTGTAGATACAAGTAATCTTCGGTTTGCCACATGGATGTGTTTTCAACATCATTATGGAGTTTTAATTTTTATTATCTTATTTTCCATGGCTGGTCAGCCTTGATTCCAAAGAGATTCTTCTACCATAAAAGTCAGAAACCAAATTCTGCTGTTATTTACACCGGAGTTAATTAATAGTAACATGATTTAAATTGATTGACTCTATATTTGCAATAGCATAACAGAGAGCAGATTTTGCCATAGACTCTGTGACCTGTTAGGAGCTGTTGGCTCAGAAATTTCTAGATATATTCTTCTAAAATGATCCTAACTGTCAAAACACTACTTTCTGCCTTAAATCAGGGTAGTAGATAGTGTTGACTGTCTGCATACTTTAAAAATATGTGCAGCAAATCTATAAATTGGCACTCATTCAGTTCTATGAGCATTTTATGTAAATCATACACCATTACGCATTTTAAAATAATAAACAATTATGCATCCATTTTCTACATAGAATAAAATTTTAACACACCGGAAGGATTTCTGACTAGTTAATATGCTGTCCTCCCATCTCAGAACAGCAACTATTTGGTGTGGATTCTAGGCTCTGTATTCATCCCTGAATTCCCAATTTTAATTGAGGTACCTGACTTTGGAAATGTATCATCAATCAAGAGCTGAACCCCTCAATACCTGATAAGTAAATGTTAAGGCTACTATGGCATCTTTAATTCTGTTGCTTTCTGTACACCCATTATAAACTAATAAATACTGTGATTTTCCATTACAGGGACTCACAGCACTGGGAAATTTGACAGACCACAGGGAAACTATTTATTTCACAAATATGAGCTAAGTGCATGGAGGGATATTAATATTTCATACATACATTGTAATGCAATATTAGATTATAGAAGTAAATTCAGATAAATTCTCCATCAGCAAGTCCCTGTACACTAAGCAATGTATCATAATACTGGAAATACTGATTTCTGGCCTGTTAGCTATATGTTTGGACTGCAATGAAATAAGACAGAAGACTAGCTATAATAAAATATATGACTATCATAAATATATATTAATTTTAAATTAATATTCATAAATAATTATAACATACAAAGTTGCATTTGGAAGTACTGTATGCTGTGTACAGATATACACCATTATTAGATGATACTGTGCTAAAGAAAAGACGAAAATCAATATTATATGTGTCACTTCAACGGGATACTTGGAATACTTGGAAGACCTGTGATTTCATTGCTGCGGATCGTCTTGCCACTGATGCAGTTGCAACTTTTCTACACCACCCAACATACTGGAGGCCTCCCTCTTGTTCTTTTCTCATCTCCTGGATACCAGTGGAGTAAACATGCTGTCCATCTATTATCTCTCAGGGTACGTCTAGAATACATGCCTCTGCCACCAGAGGCATGTAGATTAGGCTACCAGACGTAGTAAAATGAAGCTGCGATTTAAATAATCGCCGCTTCATTTAAATTTACATGGCTGCCACGCTGAGCCCACAAACAGCTGATCAGCTGTTTGTCGGCTCAGCGCGGTAGTCTGGACGCGTGGGTGTCAACATCAAAGGTATTTGTCGACCACCCAGGTATGCCTCCCTCTGTCGCCAGAGGCATGTAGATTAGGCTACCAGATATAGTAAAATGAAGCGGCGATTTAAATAATCGCCGCTTCATTTAAATTTACATGGCTGCCGCGCTGAGCCGACAAACAGCTGATCAGCTGTTTGTCGGCTCAGCGCGGCAGCCATGTAAATTTAAATGAAGCGGCGATTATTTAAATCGCCGCTTCATTTTACTATATCTGGTAGCCTAATCTACATGCCTCTGGCGACAGAGGCATGTAGTCTAGACGTACCCTCAGTCTCACTACATGGATAGCCCATTGCCTTTTCCGGTCACACATAACTTGGATGATATCATTGACACCACTTCTTGCACGCAAATCACCAATAGTAACATGCTGTAGCCTACTTACACCCACCATAGGTCTTTCCATTGCTATTTGGGTGATTTGCAGCTTTGATTCTTCTGTAAGTGTTGTGTTCCAGGTTTTTCAGCCATACAGCATTACCAGAAGGGTACTAGCACTAAAGAGGTGGGCTTTCATGGTAATGGGAAGTTTGGAATCAGCAAAAACACTGTACAAACTCCAAAAGGCAATCCAACCTGATCTCCTTCTGATCAACTCCAGGCCCAACTCATTGTCCATCTGCAATGCTTGTCCAAGATATCCATATTGATCAACCAGCTTGTCGGAATGTCCATCCAGCTGCATGAGGTACTCTGAACAATGCGTGTTTTTCATCCACTTTGTTTTTTCAGTATGGGTAGTCTGGCCAATCTCCTTCGTGTTCTTACCGATGTCATTGAGGAGGATTTGGAATGTTTCAGGTTTTGACACAATTAGAACGATGTCATCTGCAAAAAGGAGAATTTGACAAACCTCGCCATCAATCAAAAATCCATCTTTCACCTCAGTCCTCCACAAGACATCTTCCAGAACGCTAGTAAACAACTTTGGCAAACAAACATCCCCTTCTTTATGCCTTGCTTAACTTTGATTATCGAGGGATCATCAAAAAGCATGATTTCCATAGTTGCATCCATCATGGAGTCTCGTATGACTCTAACATACAGAGGGGAGACGCCCTGCAATAGGAAAGCATTTAGAGCTGCATTTTGTTCCACTGAGTCAAAGGCTTTTTTAAAGTCAATGAACAACGAGCATAGTGGGATCTTCTACTCTCTACACCTTTTGGTCATCTGTGTGACCACAAAAATGTGGCCCACTGTGGAGAATCCCCTATGAAACCCTGCCTGTTCCCTTCTCATGTTTTCCTCAAGGACACCCTCAATACAGGCATAGATAATTTTCATAAAGACCTTATAAAGTTGAGAAAGCATGTGGATAGGTCAATAATTGTGAATGTCATCTTAATCACCCTTCTTTTAGCAGAAGAACAGTTCATAACCTCTTCCAATCTTTCAGAATTCTTTCCTCTTTAACATATCTTTAGAATCTCTCACTAAGGGTGTGTCTAGACTACCTAGTTTTGTCGACAAAAGTGGACTTTTGTCGACAAAACAATACCAGCGTCTACACTACCGCGGAGTTCTGTCGACATAACATCGACAGAACTCCGCGGTTTTGTCGACGCTGGTATACCTCATTTTACGAGGCAAAACACCTTCTGTCGACAGAAGGTGTTATTGCCTGTAACGTTGCGTCCAGACTACGGAGTTCTGTCGACAAAGTGACTTGCTTTGTCGACAGAACTCCATGTGTCTGGACGCAAATTGTCCACGGAAGTTTTGTCGACAGTATCTGTCGACAAAACTTCCGTCAACAAAACGCGGTAGTCTATACGTACCCTAAGTGCTCATTTTTTGAGGAGTACAGGATCTTTTGAAATGGGGCATATCTGTTGAAAATGCCCTGTCTAAAGTTCAGGGTTTTTTTTTTTTTTTTTGAAAAGCCCCTTTTCGAAAAAAGCGGCAGCTGCCATTATGCAAATTAAGCACAGGATATTTAAATCCCAGCTTCATTTGCACTTTCAATACGTCTAATTTACATCCCTCTGCCAACAGAGGGGTGTAGTTTAGACATAGCCTGAGACACTTCTAGAGCACCTGGGGGCATAGTCAGAACTATTAGCTGAGTGTAGGGGAGCCAGATGCTTAGATATTAGGATTTTATAGGTTCAGAGTTGGAGCCAACAAGCCAGATGGGTGCAAATCACAAACCCACCACTTTGAGCTCACAACGCAAGTGCCATGAACGGGTTGGTCTGACTGAGGGAGGGAAAAGAGAATCTGTATCAGTCTAGCAAAGGAGGTGGGAAAGGTGGCTGTTTCACTGTGTGCTGTAAAGGGAAGAGAGTCTTGTAAAAAAAAAAGCCCTGCTAGACATCTTCAACTGGATCTACTTCTGTCTCTGTGTGGGATAAATACAATTGTTGTTCTTTTGCTTACTCTAGGGGAACCCTAAGAGGGAGGCTGACCTTTGTGCAGAGACTTGTGACTGGAACCTGGGACCCTACCTTGTCACTGGCCTCTCTCACCTGACTACTACTGACCAATGTTCATGGCAGGTAAATTCCTTTCATATACCAGCTCAGTTCTGCTGGCTGCTGGGTTGGGAGGATGGAGCCAAGACTTTGCTCATTTCCTGCACAATCTCTCTGCATCCAGGCAAGACATAGAAGCCTTGTGGGACTTTCCACTCTCCTAATTTTGCCCAATGACCCAGGGAGGCTGAAACATGCAGAAATGGAGCCCTTTACTCCTCCTTATTCCCTTGCAGGGCCACAGTATGGTTAGTCATAATCCATCTCTAACTGCTTTTCCTTTCTTTAAAAGGTTCTAAATGATTTGAAAAACAATTTTTTTCTTTTAAACAGTCTTTGCCCAGCTCTAAGAACAGGAGGTATTCATGCTGAGTAACACTCAGCATTGGCACGCACCCGTCTAGGTTAAAGTTAAAGAAGGACAAATGTAAAAGCAACATTAGCTCTTGTTTAGGCTTTCCATAGCAGGGAGCCAATTTTAATCATTTATTCCAGCCAGCAGACATCAGAGCTAAGGAGGAATTTATTCTTATGCCTCACAAACAAAACCAACAACCAAATAAGGTTTCAGTTTATAACAGGTTTTTAAGAGCAGAATTGGGAAAACCTAATTGAATGACTTTCTGCTGGCCCCAGGTTCACTTTTTCCAATCCAGAACAGTAATTTTCCTTCATTTATTTTCCAACGTGAAGGCTAAAAATAAAGAAACAAAAAAGAATAGAAGATTATCTTCCTTCAGGGGTCTCTTGTACACTCATGCTACCATGATGCTTACATAATAGTCGACAATGTCAAAGAATAGTTTTGCCTCTATAAAGATTATCTTCCTGACTCATTTCTCTGACCCTGCCGGCCTGTTTGGGTGTGTCTGCACTGCACTCAGACACGTGAGCTTGCCTGTGCCAGCTGATGCAGGTTTGCAGGTTTTTGGGGTGTAGAGCTGTTTAACTGCAGTGTTAACTTCTGGGCTCAGACTATAGGACTGACTTGAAGCCCTTGTGATGTGGGAGCATCCCAGAACATGGGCTGCTGACTAAGCCTAGAAGTCTACACTACAATGAAACAGCCCCAAAGCTGAGCCCCAGAGTTCCAAGTCAGCTGGTCTTTCTGTCATTCAGCAGGTTCCTTGTTTTTTTCCACATCAGTAAACTAATTATCTTTCCCTTTAAGGTTCCTTATACCTTGGCCCCACCACACATGCTGTATGCTGTCAGTCTTTCCACCTCACCTAGGGTATGTCTACACTACCCCGCTAGTTCGAACTAGCGGGGTAATGTATGCATACCGCACTTGCTAATGAAGCCCGGGATTTGAATTTCCCGGGCTTCATTAGCATAAGCGGGGAGCCGCCTTTTTTAAATCCCCTCTGCTTCGAACCCCGTGCAGCGCGGCTACACGGGGCTCGAACTAGGTAGTTCGGACTAGGGTCCTATTCCGAACTACCGTTACTCCTCGTGAAACGAGGTGTACCGGTAGTTCGGAAT